ATAGATCTTGTATGAGAATGGGACACAATAGGCACCCAACATTCGTTAAGTGTGTAACTCTGCAAAAAAACACTAAGAAAGTAATCCAGAGAATAGGAGTAACACTGAGCATTTGTAGTGACATCTCTACCAAATAATGCCAGTAAGTGAAAATTTTTCATAAAAAATAATCCCAGAAAAAATACGTTAATATTGTATTATAACTATTATTACCATTGCATCATTTATTAATTTGAGGGAATTTTGTGAAGTTATTGAATTATATTTATGCTTGCCTTAAAAGGGATTTGAAAGTATATAAGTTCATACATTTTTTTCGATATAATAATGAGTTGGCATCCTACTTGACCATAAACAACCGTATCAAATGTTACGTGTAGAGCTTAAATAAAGTATTAGAAAGGCGCATTTTGCATTTAAGAAACTAGTAAGTCGCCAGTCAAGATCCTTGCTAATAGGCCTCTTGTTCTGGATCGGAATGAAAATATTTCCAGCTCCTTGAATGAATAACAGCCCGAAACTGAAACAATGGAAGTTGCTAGACGAGGAATTCTTAAGCTCAATTATTGGATCTGGTTGTAATGACACTAAACGATTGACGGACTGAATCAGCAAAAAGAATTAGTCATGGAAAATTTGCAAATGGGATCTGACTGAAAATAATGTATACCAGTTTTCTGCAGTGGGAACAGAAGAACCTGGGGCTAACGATCAAAATTTCAGCACTGACATGGCCTAGTGAATTGTTAAGTGACGTCATGAGGAGTGTAAAATGGGTACGACGCCAATTTGCAAGATAAAGTATATCCAGAGAAAAATACTTTGGCTGAGGCACGACGAGGTAATTTTGTACAGTAAGGACCCTAGTTAATTAAAATTAATAAGGTCACATGAAGTTTTGTTTTTGCTTTAGTGTAGAAAGAAAACTTAGACCATATTCGCTTTTAGCGTCTACGCTACAAGGTACTCAAGACTTGAAATGATTTCATACAAATAGCCATCAGATTTTATATTTAATTATGGTAATTGATCTTGACTAACTAAAGCTAGCACATATTTTGCCAAAATAAAATCAGAAGTAAAAAAGAGCTTGGGTAAAACATACTGCCTACACTTGCAAACAGATCATTCGACCGACCTAGAATTGCCATTTACAAACAATTATTAGCTCAAATATACTTGAAAACATGTTGGAGTATCTTTCATTTCGTTTGAATAGGAGAGTGAAAGGGATTCGTAAGTTTGCGGCACCAGAAGCTGAAGTGGAGCTGATTTTTAGCCGTGAGTGTAGATTTGTCCTTTCCACTCGCCTCTTCAAACTAAATGAAAGGTACTCCAACAAAAATGCATTAAGGGATTATTTGACACCAAGTTTTTATACATTCTTAAGGGCATATTTATGGATGTGTTTTTCTTGACGATGACGGATAGAACAAGCTTTCAATTAATCATGATAGAGTACCGCTCTTATGCATAATTTTCAAATGATAAATGTAATTAAGCACAAATTGTTTGAGCAAACTAAAAATGCATTTAAAGAAAAACTGGGTTTCGAAGCATTCCTTAATGAAATATTGTGGCATGAATCTTCATTTCGAAGGAAAAGTTGGTGGGAAGGAATTCGTGATGTGGTCTCCCCGGAAACCGAAGGAGGATTTCCGCGTAGGAAAGACTGTTGAATTGTGCGAAGAAGTCCTCGCCTCACCGTCCTGCGAACTCGATGTAACTGTGCTAAGCTTTCGTCTGTACAATAGTGACAGACTTCATCAGAACAAGATTCCATACTTTACCAAATTAGGCTCTATTCTGAAAAGTATGGAATCTTGCTCTGATGATGTCTGTCACGATGATACAGACGAAAGCTTAGCAGTTTCATCGGTATCGCAGGATGGTAAGGTGAGACCTTCTTTGCACAATTCAACAGTCTTTCCTACGCGGAAATCCTCCTTCGGCTTCCGGGAAGATCCCATCACGAATTCATTCCCACCAACTTTTCCTTCGAAATGGAGAGTCATGTCACAATATAGCAATTTATTTTGCCTTAATTTTAAGAGATTTGGATAAGCATTGAATCAGAGCCATATTTAACCCCAAATCTCGTGTATATTGGCTAGCTTTGGAATAAATTTGAGTTTTACATAAAAATCGCATGGAATACCCCTTCATAACTAGATTGTATAGGTGAATTAAGTCAGATCAGTTAAACTGACCTAATATTTAATATGAATCATACGGGGTTTTTGATGAAGGACCGTGCTTCAAGGCTTAGCGAAAAATATGAAAAAATTACTGGGCTCGAAGTTTTCATATGTTTTCCTTAACTTTTCCCAAAGAATTTATTTCAAGCAGTCAAATTCTACTCTATAAAAATTCGGTACATGTGAGATTGCATCGTAACCCTTTTACCTTTTTAGTAAGAGTCCAGTTTCTCCATTTCTTTTCATTTCCTTTCAATGAATGTGAACTCAGTTATACTCCAGAATTAGCATATATGATTAATCGATATAAATAATATTTCATGATTCTCATTACCTTTTATTTATTTGGTGCCACTTATTATAACTTAATGTCTCGTTTGTAATATGTTCTTTTTATTTTTTTATAAGTAAAAGAAAAACCGGGTTTCGAAGAATTTCCTAGTGAAATATTGTGACATGATGTTGCAGTTAGAAGGAAGAATTGCTTGTAAGGCATTTGCGAAATGGTCTCACCGGAAACCGAGGGAGGATTGCCGCTAGGTGAAGGCTGTTGATTTCTGTGAATAGATTCTCGGCTCACCGTCTTGCAAGACCGACTATTCTGTGCTGAGCTATTTTTGTACTCTGACAGACATCACCTGTTCTCTTGGTTTAGTATATTTTTGAGCTGTTTCATACAGTATGGATTTCGGCTTTGATGTTGTCTGCCACGATGGTACATACAAAAGCTTAGTATATTTTCATTGGGGTCATAAGACCGTGAGCCGATGATTTCTTCGCACAAGTCAACAGTATTCACTTTGTGGCATTCCTACTTCGGTTTACAGTGAGACCATTTTATGAATTTCTTCAAACCAACTTTTCCTTCAAAATGACAATTGACGCTTCAGTTAACCTTTCTAGACTACACTCTGCATTACTCGGATTCAAACCCCGCTAAAGGTATTGGTGGGACTAAACGAGGTCGAAACTGCTATACAGCTTGAATGAGAATACATTTTGGATATCAAGGCTATGTCAAATTTAATAGAAATGTGAAGCTTGTTTATATCATTGGGCAATTATTCAACTACCGGTCTTTCAGCATCTTAAACGAAATGGGGTGAAGATAGCTCCTATGTATTATGTTCCCTCTCTGCATAGCCTAATTTGCCATATTCTTTTCTTTTGCCAATTTTGAATAATAATAAGTTGTAGGCAAAATCTAGATTGTGTTTTGGTAGCTTACATAGATTATATTGATGAAAATTAGCTTTCATTTTATACAATTTATAATAACTGAAAATATTATTATAGACTTAGTGCTAGTCTCGAAACCTCTTATTGCTACAATGAATTTAGGTGAGCTGTAAATCATAGGTAAGAAGAGTCCAGAAATATTCTTGAGAACAAGAGATCAGATTTGCCAATTGTGGTGCATTTAAGGTTGATCAAAAGAAAAATTAAACTCGTAGTAAAAGAGTGAAAAGATCTTACAATCACACATTCACTTAGTATTTATAAAGTCGTCTGTGGCTTCTTGATATGGATATTTTGGTAAATTTTTAAAAATATTACAACTTATTATTCGAACATTTTTTCTTACTTTATTTTCAGCCTTAAAGAGCTGGCCTGCTTAATAAGAATCCAACCAGTTAAGTTAATTTCTCTTTGAAATCCTCTTACCAAGAAGGGTTTACAGAACTCTTATATGTATTCTGCCTGAAGTAATTATTTTTCGTATTTAAGCAGAGTTTTGAGACTACCAGTAAATCAGTAATATGAGATGTATTCACACAATTTCGTTTAAGGTAATTAAGGACTGGTAGTAGAATTTTCCCACAATGATATGAGTAGAGTTGACGTTTCCAGTGAATTTCACATAGCCTTGCTTTCCCAAAATTTGTTTTCATCCAGGGTGGACTGCAGTTCCGACTTCGCATAGGTCTTATCAACACCCTCAGCGGGAGTCGAACTGTGGCGGTGCAGAATGTGAGCTTGACACTTTAACCACTCGACCAGATTGCCACGAGTGCCCTTGAGTCACAGGGTAGATGTGAATTTCAAGGAAGGACAGGCCTTTTGTCATATCATATTCTTTGGTGGGATTGTCGATGAAGCAAACGTATATTTGCTATAACAATCTCATATTAAAGTAATTAGCCAAAATTATTCTCCTAATGTCTGCTCAGATTTTTATAAAAAGGTCAGAATATAAACACACATTCCTGCTTTTATAATTCTCATTAAAAATCATAATTCAAGTGAAGTAATCAAACAAAATGGTATCCAACATTTTAATCTACAGATAAAAGTATGCATCTTTATGAGACAGCTACCTTGATAAAAATGAGTAGAATTCTAGAGACAAGCCATCTTCATGTACTTTCAGATTATTTTTGTTGCGCAGATGCCGCGGAATTAGGCCAGGACTATCTGGAATTCTTGATCCGCAAATTAATTGTTCAGTGTGAATCATAATTCGAGGATGCTCATTTGTTTGTCCTTCATCTGCCAACGAGCTTAAATAACCTTGTTGCTTAACTTTTGTTAACTTTCTTCTTTGTTTATATTGTTGCTCCAAGCAAGGGTAAGCAAGAATTGGCGTGGGATCTTGAGGAATACGGGCCAGAGCGCGCATCGGAGAGATGCCAGCAAGCGGTGGCTCTCCATCCCAAAGTTCTAGACCTGTTACTCCAAGTGACCAAACATCGGCACGTGTGTCATATCCGCTAGTAGAAGGAAAGTCATCACAAGTAATCACCTAATAAAGAAATTGACGTTAAAATGTCAATTAATATCAATAATGAAATGATGAAAAATGATAACAACGTTTACTCTATTTTTTTAGTGCCAAAACTGGCGTAGTTACTTAACGAAGGATAGTTTTTATTTTTTAATTAATTAGGCTAAAATCTTTAAATTTAGAGTAGTAGTGATAGTAATTTTTATTAAGAATATATTTATAAGATCGGTAAGACGCTTCATCAGCAGCCTAATCACATGTCATCCGGCGCCACTTAATTTAACTTTTGAGCAAACAATCAGACAAAACATGAGATGTCAAATTGGACTATAAGAAATAGGTAAG